AGGGATGCAGTTGCTGGTTGAACAGAAGGCAGAGGCTGGCCCTGCTTTGCTGAGAGGCTTCTCTGTTAGCAATTTGCAAATCTTGAGGGTAAACTCGGGGGGGCGGGAGAGGAAACCATCCGCGTGGAGGATTCTGCTTTCCCTTTTTTGCTTGTCCAAGTGATCAGATGCAGGTCCCTGGTGGGCTGGAACTTGCTCCCCTGGCAGTTTAACTGTGGCTGATGGTTCTCAGATGTTTGTGGAGGTGACGTGAGAGTCTTAAGGATGACAGATCTGTTCATCCTTGTGCTGAACCTCTCCCTGCTGACAGAATTGTCTCCTTTTCTTGCAACCAAGCGGTCTCTCGCCCTCCGAAGAGCAGATGGACAACGCAGGAGACCTTGTACGAGGATGTGGAGCTGTTAAAGGCGCTCTCAGCTGACTTCAGACAGCCTCTAAATCTCTCATTTCAGGGATAGATCAGAAATGTGACCCATGGAGTGGCAGAGGGAGGTAGGAGAGACCTCGGGGCATGGTCGGTGCCCTGGCTGAGGGACGGGAGCTGGTCGTGGCTACCTCGCCTCTGAGTCCAAGCAAGCTGCTGACAGCGTTCCCCCATCAGCATGTGTGGGGAAGGTGTTGGATTGTTGTGCATTATCGTTTAGGGAACCTCCCTGACCCTCACAGCAGTTTCCCTGTGGCGCTGATCAGTGTCTCCCGTGTGGGCTGGAGAAGCACCCAGGGACAGGGGTTTCCCCGAAAGCCGTCTGTCTTCACGCTCCTGGTGGCCGTAGGGAGCTGCAGGTGACTGCTTGCAGCCTTGGCACCGCACAGCTTTTCTTGGGGTTCCTGGATTTCTGATTAAAAGTTTCACAACTTGTTCTCACGGCTTATCTGCCTCCAGAAGCCCTTGCAGGTGAGTCAGCACGGTTATAGGAGCACAGCCCTCCCGTAGCCACGCTGTACTCGTAAACAGCGTTCACTCAGTACCTGTGTCTCTTCATTTTGCAAAGGGTGTGGATCTTGGTGCTGCTTCTCCTCCCAGCCCTGCCACGGAAGATTTCTTGATAAACCCAGAAAAACTGGGTTCTTGCCTTGTGATTTTTGGCAAAAGAGGAGGTGTTGCTGGCCGTGGTCGGCTCTTGGCAGCGCCGGCGCAGTCGTGCTTGTCACGAGGAGTTGCGCAAATGTGGCTGATCAAAAGGAGAGAAACATCTGGGGGCTGTTAGGAGGAAGAAACAGGCTCCTGCCTTGGGGCAAGGGCAGGCTAGCGAGCCCAGGCTCTGGACGAGCTGCTTCAAAGGAAGGCTGAGCAAAGGTGGAGACAGCGTTTGGTTGTGTAATGGGCTCAGCCTGCGCCTCGTGTGCGTGTTTTTTGAACTTCCACGTGCAGCACTAGTCCTGTGGCCCGCTGCTGCTTGACCTTCCCAGATGCAGCGTGCTTCTCCATGCAGCTCTCGGTATGTTTTTGGGATCTTCCCCTTGCAGAGACACCTGTGGCCTTGGGCTCTGGAGCAGAAGCAACTCCAAGCTCTTGCTTTTGCATTTACCAGCTTTTTTGGGGAGGAGGTGAGTGTGTTTTGGCTCCAGTTGCCATCAGACGAACCCCCCCACCGTGACTCCGAGCCTGCCTGTAAAAGCTGCAGGGAACAGGCAGGCTGCAGCGGTGGTCTTGTGCTCCAAGCGCTCCCACGCCAGGTTTTGCGCTGAAATTAGTGCCTGTGTGCAGATAAGCTCATCAGCTCGTGGTGGTGCCTTGCTGGGCTCCTTGGGGATAACGAGGTGGCTTCATTAGCTGTCTTCCGTGACACGGCCATGTGCCCCAGCAGGGCGGTGGGAGGGGGGTTGTGGGGGGTGTCCTGGCATGTCGAGGAGCCTGCGGCAGGGGAGAAATGTTGTTCTGCTGGCTTGGTGGCTCTCCCAGCCTCACGTCTTGGCAGCGGGGAGCGTGAGGATTAAAGGATCCAGGGAGGCCGTTGGCTTGGACCGCCAGTGAAGCAGGCTGGAGCGCGCCGGGGCGGCCGGCAGGTCGTGGGGTACCGTGACTGATTGTTGAGGGCCCCGGGGGGACACGTGGGGTGCAGACCTGGTGGCACCTGCTCTGCTCGGGGGGGCTGCAGAGGGGCTGTGGGTGCTGCCCTAGGTTGGGACCCCTCGCAGGAGTCGTTAGGTGTTGTGTCGTGGCTCGTAAATGCCCTTTCTGGGTCCCTGGCGGGGAAAGGCTGGGAGCTGGCACGCTGGCAGGGGGTGAGCTCTTGCCTCCATCCCCTTTGCCCAGGAGCTCTGCTTCCTTCCTGCCTGCTGGCCCGGTGACCAGTGCTGTTGGGAGGTGGGATCGCCCCGCTCCCCTCCCAGGCATCGCGCCTGCCAGCGCCGCTGCTTTCCGGAGAGGAGCCCACGGCACCGCCCGTCGTGTCCCCAGGGTGAAGGCTTTGCAGGCCGTGACCTTTGTCACGAGGCCTCGTGACGCTCCAAGTCCGACGTCTCCTGCTGCGTGGCGGTGGCTCAGGGCCACGCACGGCTCCGGCCCCGTGCCGGTTGGCAGGCTGAGCTTCCCCTGCGGGCAGGAGCTTCTGCTCAGCCCGGTTCTGCTTTCCCATCACTCTTCCTGCAGCCAGGAAAGCTGCAGCTCTTGATGTCCTTCCCCCTTTCCCTGCCCTCTCCCTTGCCCGCGCTGCAGAGCAGGGTGCAGCCTCAGAAATCTCGCCCAGGGAAGAAGCAAGAGGGCAGAAGGTGTCTGCTGGTCCCCGGCAAAGGTCAGCCCCCCCCCTTGCAGGGCGGTGTTTAACGCACGCTCTCCCCCTTCTCTTCCCAGCGCCCAGGGATGCCGCCTGGCAGCAGGATGCCCATGGCCGGGCTGCAGGTGGGACCACCGGGAGTCCCCCCCCAGGCACAGCCACCGCTGGCCACCCAGAGGAGAGGGTAAGGAGCCGGCACCCTCCTGCTCTGGGCTGGGCCCTGCACGGGTTGGAGGCAGGTGGTTTGATGTACTGGGTCCCAGTTGCGCTTTGCTGCAGAAACCAGCAGCTCCCTGCCCTGCTGCAGAGGGGTGAGGTGCCTGCAGCGGGGCAGGAGCCAGCACAGCGTGCCTGCGGGCTGCCCCCGGCTGGCACCGCTGGTGGAGGGAAACCTGCTGGAGCTCGGGGCTGGGATGTTTTGCGATGGTGGGGAACAGAGATCGCTGGGCTCAAAGCTTCCCCACGCTCTCATCTCCGTGCCAGCAACCGAAAAGCCTCTCTGCATGTGTTTGTACTTGCCAGAGGCCCCAGCACCAGCTCCTCAGGGTCTTTCCCCTTCTCACGGGGGTTCGTGCTGGCTCTGGCAGGCACAGGCGTGGGTGGGGACGAGGGTGGCAGGTTGTAGAGACGCTCCCCGGCGCTGTGGTCTCAGGAGGGCTGTTCGTTGGGGCTGCTCTCGTCGAGCCGTGGGGCTCTGCCAGCAGCTCCTCGCTTGTTTACAGCACTGATAATCGCTTTGCTGCATTTCGGTTTTCCATGAGGGCTCCCTGATTCCTGGAGGCTGTTTCTCAGGGCAGGATCCCCTGGTCCTAATGGATACTGGGGGTCCTGTTCGCTGCCCTGGCGGCGTGGCGGGCTGGCGGCCGACAGCTCGGTTGGCTCCGTAATCCTCCTGCAGGGCACTGCAGCCCCTGCGCAGTGACTGCGCATCCCTTGGGCGCTCCGGAGCCAGCTGGGGATGAAGGATGAGGGGCAGCTCGTCACCGAGCGAGGACATCCTTCCCGGGGGCTGGCTGTGTGGGGTCAGCTGTGGTCGGCCGGTCGAGCATCCTTGCTCCCAGCTGGCTGCAGAGCAAGGGATCGGGAACTGCCAGCTGCTAATGGGGTGCCCAAACCCTGCGGGGCGGGAAGCGTTTAATCCGGCAAGAAGAGCTCAGAGAAGGGCTCTCACCCCCCTCTTACCTCGGGCTGCTCTCCTGACGTGTCCTCCTGCTCGAGCAGCCGTGGGGCACCCCGTGATGGCAGCACGGACACCCCCGGTTGCTGCCCGGCTGTTTCACCTGCTGCCGAGGGAGAGGGACTTCCCTTCGCCTGCTGGACTCTGCCCCGTCTCTTACGCGTGCGGCAGAGCGGGAGGAGAGTGTTTCCCTGCGTATCCAGGCACTGAGCGTGAATTTAACGGGGCATCGGGGTGGGCTCGGGCTGATGGGGGGCCGGGAGTCTGCAGCCTGCGGGAGGGGAGGAGAGCCCGGGGCCCTGTGGTCTCACAGGGTACTACAAGCCTGGAGAGAGCTAAAATGGCTCTGAGCGAGGCTGCGGCTCTAGAGGTCCCTCTGCTTCCTCTCCCCGCAGTGGGTTCAGCTCCACCGTGGTAAGGGTAGTTTGGTTGAAGCTGTTTTTAAGGGAGCTCCTGGACTCCTACAGACCTGGGCTTTGGTTTGTAGCGCCGGGGGAGAACACGGTGGGCCCTTCCAGAGAAACTCAGGAGCACTGTCCCGCAGACAGGGGCGTACCTGCCTCGCTGCAGTTCTGCCTTGTACCCACCTTCTCCTTGCTCCTGCCCTGCAGCACCTTTAGCAAGTGGCAGCAGCGAAGCAAACCCCGGGACTGGATTTCATTCCCTGTCAATAGGCTCTAGGTGTCCCACACCTTCTCCCTGCAGTCATCTTGGCTCGCCCACAGGGGTGTGTTTTCTTACTCGTTTACTTTCCAGCGCTGGTCTGAGGTCTCGTGGTCTCGATGCTCTTACAGGCTTTCTTCGCTCCCCTCTTGCAAGTCCCCATCCCACGGAGCAGCCCCGAAAGGGGACCTGCTCCCCCAGACCTGTTCACTGCAGCAGGAGCCTCCACACCTGGCTCAGACTGAGCCATCCACGTGGCACAGCCGCTGGCACTGCCGCCGGGACTCCCCTCCCTGGAGCCTGGCCCCGTTCGTGGCCTGGATGGGGCCAAAAGAGCCACCAGGCTCCTGGCGTCTGAGCAGGACTCGGCAGCGTCCCCTGAAATCCGCTGCTGCCCGAGCATGCAGCAGCCTCCCACTGGGCAGGCAGCAAGATGTCCTGTGAGAGCTGCAGCGTGGCACAGCCGCTGGCACTGCCGCCGGGACTCCCCTCCCTGGAGCCTGGCCCCGTTCGTGGCCTGGATGGGGCCAAAAGAGCCACCAGGCTCCTGGCGTCTGAGCAGGACTCGGCAGCGTCCCCTGAAATCCGCTGCTGCCCGAGCATGCAGCAGCCTCCCACTGGGCAGGCAGCAAGATGTCCTGTGAGAGCTGCAGTGGTGGTTTTGGGGGGGTTTTTTTGCCTATCTCTGTGCTTTTTGCAGGGTGAAAAGGAGGAAGATGGCTGACAAGGTCCTGCCGCAGAGGGTGAGTGCCGCCTCGGTGTGTGGGGAAGGAGCTGAGCTGCTGGAGGGGGGTGGTGCATCCGTGCTGCCTTCCCAGGGCAGCTGGGTGATGAGGTCCCTGCGGGGAGGAGGATCTCACTGCGCCACACCCTGCCTGCTGGTCACTTCTGCTCAGTCCCAAACCAACCTGGAAGGTTTCGGTCTCATCCTCTGGGGTGGGGGAGAGGTTTGGAGCGTGCACAAGTTGGACAAGCAGGACTTTGGGCAAGCGAGGAGCGGCAGTGGCTTGGAGTCAAGACCCCAGGAGGACCCTAATCCTCTCCTGGGGGTCCCTCTGGACAAGCCAGGGTTGCGTTACGGCAGGCTGCTGGGCACAGGGACAGGCTCTGCAGTGAGGTCTGCGGCACAGCTCTGATTTGGGGAGAGCTTTGCAGGGTTCTGGTCTTTGTTTAAAATGAGAAACGGGCCTTGTCGTGCTGAACTCGTCACTTAGTGACTCCTCGGTGCGTCAGCCCAGCACCAGTAGCGTTGCTGGGGCTGGGGTGGGGGGATGCAGCCCCATCCATCCCAGTACGCAAGGAACGGATCGTTTCTGTTTGACAGATCCGGGAACTGGTCCCAGAATCTCAGGCCTACATGGACCTCCTCGCCTTTGAGCGCAAGCTGGACCAAACCATCGCTCGGAAGAGGATGGAGATTCAGGAGGCCATTAAGAAACCACTGACGGTGCGTGACCGCCCTGGCTGGCCGGGAGGGCGAGCAGCCCGATAGAGTGGGGGGGCTACGAGGTGGGTGCGTGCTGTGGGTGCTGGCAGTCACCCTCTCACTCCAAGCATCCCCCCTTTCTGTTCTCCTGTTCCACAGCAAAAGCGCAAGCTGAGGATTTACATCTCCAACACGTTCACCCCGGGCAAAGAAGAAGGGGAGGGTGGTGAGCGCGTGGCCTCCTGGGAGCTGCGCGTGGAGGGCAAACTGCTGGAGGACGTAAGGAGACGGGCAGGGGTGAAGTGGTGGTGGGAGGAGCACGGGTGCTCTGTCCTGAGAGCTTGGCTGGGGTGGGTACGGCCCTGTGCTCGCTGGGTGCTGGAGGTGGTGTTTGGGCCGGGGCCCTCTCTAGCTGCTGACATCAGGCCAAGCCTCTCCCGCTCTGTTCTGCAGCCGAGCAAGCAGAAGAGGAAGTTCTCCTCCTTTTTCAAGAGCCTCGTCATCGAGCTGGACAAGGAGCTGTACGGGCCCGACAACCACCTGGTGGAGGTGATTTTGCGCTGGGGGGCCGGCTCCGCGCCCCGGGCGCTGGTGGCGGTCCTGCCCTGTACCCTGCGGGTGCTCAGCTCCGCAGCCCAGCGCCTGTCCCGCTGCCAGAGGGGACTGAGCAAAGGTGCTTTTGGGCGCCGGGGGGCGGTGCCAGGCCCCCCTCGGGGCACCACGCTGCCGCGCTTTCCACGCTCAAGTTTCCAGCTGTGTTTTCTTCCCTGGTGGCCGCTGTGGTGGCTCCTGGCACCCTCGGGCCTGCGGCTCGGGCAGGGGGGTGTTGGGCTGCAGTGAGGACGTGGCTCTGAGAGGCAGCTTGGGCGGCGCTGGGTCCCGCAGACTTGCAAAAGCAAGGCCCAGCACGGGTGATGATGCCGCAGAAAGGCTCATCTGTACATCCCGGTGCCGGCTGGGAAGAAGGGTCTGCCCTGTTGCCCCTCAGCCTGCTGCCTAGCTGCAGGGTCCTCGAGGAGATTAAGCACTGTCTGTGAGTGGGATCAGACCTTTTTTGGGTGCTCCTGCCTGGAGCAGGCTTTCCCTGCACCCAGCTCACGCTTTTCCCCACCAGAAAACGCTTGTTAACGTGGTGGTGCCTTCTGTGGTGGGGATGAATCCCCTTCACGTGCCGGGTGGCTTGCGAGCAGCTCTGATGCGCGTCCCCTGTGATGGCTGAGGCAGGATTGATCCCACGTTGACTCCAGGAGTTGTCTGAGCCCTTGGCGTCAAGTGCTCAGGGCTGTAACTCCCCCGGCCCGTCCAAACTCCCATCGGCCTCTGGGCTGGTGCCCATCAGGCTGTACCCGTTGGATGGGGCGAGCTCTCAGCTGAAGCCCGCTGGGGTCAGACTGCCAGGGGTGGGATCCCGGCTGGCTGCCTCTGCCAGACCCCTGCGCAGAGCCCGAGCGCCGGCGCTCTCTGCTCCTGGCTGCAGGCACGCAGCCTGTGAGCAGGTGGCTTGTCGTGACCCCGGAGCTGACCCGTGTCCCCTTGCTCTCTCCTAGTGGCACCGGCTGCCCACAACCCAGGAGACCGACGGCTTCCAAGTGAAACGTCCGGGCGACGTCAATGTGAAATGCACTCTGCTGCTCATGCTGGATCACCAGGTGGGGGCCCTGGGGCCACACGGGTGCTGGCTGTGCCCTTCTGCCCGTCCTGCAGCCCAGCCCATCTGTGGGGCAGCCCAGCCCATCTGTGGGGCAGCCCAAGGTGGGGGTAAATGGGCCTGGGCTGGGGCAGGGCCTTGTATGAGGCCGCTGGGGGGCTGCGGGGATAGAAAGGAGCCCAGAGAGCTCCAGGCACGGACCCCACGGCCTGTGGTGCCAGAGGGGCTGTGTGGGGCACTGTGCTCAGAGGAGGGACCCTTCCAAGGGTCAGACCGACCCCCTTCAATCCCGCGTGTCCCCGCAGCCCCCACAGTACAAACTGGACCCTCGCCTGGCTCGCCTGCTCGGGGTGCACACCCAGACCCGCGCCAGCATCATGCAGGCCCTCTGGCTCTACATCAAGCACAACAAGCTGCAGGACAGTCACGAGAAGGAGTACATCAACTGCAACCGCTACTTCCGCCAGGTCAGCCCTCGCCCCGCGCCACCAGCACGCTTTGCTGGGAGGAGAACACCCTTCCCACCCCCAGTACGGCCAGAAAAAGCATCTTTTCTCGCTCACCACAGGCCCTTCAGGCTGCCCGGTCTCAATTTATGCCCCTTCCCCAGGCTCTGCCTTGCCTCCATCAGCTTGCCACGCACAAACCAGGGCTGGGTGATTCCCCCCCTGCCTCCTACCTGGCCCTTTCTGCGGCGGGTGGAAGGAGGCCCTGCCACGGGCAGCAAACGCTTTGCTTTGCCCCCTCCCCAGATCTTTAACTGCGTCCGCATGCGCTTCTCCGAGATCCCCATGAAGCTGGCGGGGCTCCTGCAGCACCCAGACCCCATCATCATCAACCACACCATCAGGTAGCGGTGGAGGGGTGCGCTGGGCAGCGTTCCCTGGGGCTGGTGGGCTC